TTTCACATGACGATACGCCCTCTTATTTGCTTTCAAATTTGGGAAATGTAGTTTGAAGTCGGGGGCTGTACTTTCCTCGGAAAGCACCTGAGAAAAAGTTTAGTAAAGTACTACATGCTTAGGAAATGTACTTCAAGTAAAGTACAAGTTTTCTAAACACTCTTAAAGTAGTACTTTAAGTACCCTGTACTTAAAGTACTTCCCAACACTGCTTGTTTGTTATTATTTTTATGTAAACACGTTGAGGAATTGCTAACGTTTCTCGAATGATCTTCGAATCTGGGAAGACCTGAACAAACTACAGGAGCACCACATAAGCTTCAGAGCAGGTGCTCCATTTTGTTGCCTCTCTCGAGAGAGGATGCAGTGCGCACACCTCCTGTAAAGGGATGGATTAAAGATTCACGCCCCGGCTGGACGTGCTCCGCATGGGCTCCGCTTCCACCTGGTTATAGCTTTGTATCATCGCAACCACACCAGTCGAATTGATACCAAAGTGTTCCTAACGTCACCAGGACCACATCGGTGCCAACAACTTCGCCCATCGATACCGGGTACGTGAATCACCACCGAATTATGACCAGCCACGCCGGCACTCTTCGCTAAGCCTAACGTCGCCTTCGCTTGGCGAGGAGGCCGCCGGCTTGACGTCAGCCCTTAGCGACAGAGGCAGCAACCACCTGCGCACGTGCGGTTCGCTCCACTCAACGCACCGACATGAGCGCCTCCCAACCAGCTGCCGACGCGGGAACTTCAAACTCTCCGCCGCCGCCTACCACCAACTCGCCGCCGCAGCAGCTCCCAACTTCTCCGACTAACACCGCCATTCTAATCACGCCAACGCGTGTCGAATACATGGTTGAAGGGGACGAAATCGATCCCGACATCCTACGTGAACCTGGATGGAAGACAATTCGCTCCCGCATCGCAGCAACAACCGCTACTTCAGCCACCACCACACCCGCTGCTGAACCCACCAAGCCCCAACAAAAACGCCGGCAACATCGCAAGAAACCTACCACCCTCCCAGAAGACCCGCTCCCCCCTGATGACTTCAAGGTTGTCATTCGTCCTCAGGGCGGTCTGGACCTCAGCACAACTAATGCAGCCCAGCTAGCCGACTGCATCTTCCACCAAGCCAAGATAACAGACTTTGCTCAAGACCAAGTACGCATAAACACCCGTTCAAACTTCATCGTAGTAAGTACCCCCGATGAACGCAGAGCCCAACAATACATGGACCTCAATGCAATCACTTAGAACGCTACCCACTACCCCGTCCAAAGCCACATACCCCCACCCAGCACCACCACGCCAGGAGCAATATTCCAGATACCAGCTGAAGACTCCGAACCACTAATCATGGAAAGCCTCACGCGTCATAACCCCACCATAACAGTCCTCGACGCCCGTCGCATCAAAGACACGGGCATCGTGCAAGTCCTCTTTTTGGGGCCGCATGTACCCTTCTGGGTGCGGTACCGTGCGGTTATTCTTCGTTGCTACCCCTACAAGAGGAAAACCGAAGCATGCATGGCCTGTTGGTCAGCTGGCCACAGGCGAGACGTCTGCCCCAAACCCTCACCGAAACCCCAATGTACAATTTGTGGTACACCGGGCCCCACACCAAATCACCCATGCCAGCCTCGCTGCATCCTGTGTGGACAAGATCACCTGACAGGTGCAGCGGGATGCCCTAAACGCTTCCAGCCTCGCCGCACCCTACCGAAAACCCTACCCAACATACCCCCCTTCACCCCCGAGACCGGACCTGACCGCAACACCACGACCTTCACAACACCCGGACTCACCTACAGCCAAGCCGCTCAGGGCCAGGTGCGCGCAGCTCTGCTCCCAAATCCTCCAATTCACCCACCCCCACCCCCGCCCTCCACATGGCAAAACGAAATGCGCGAAATGCGCCAGGAAATGCAGCAACTGCGTAACACTATTACCCTCCTTCGCGCAGAAAATGAGCGTCTACAAGCGGAAAACCGTCTCCTTAAACAGCAACTCCAAACCTCCCACAACCCTCCAGCCCCGTCACCCGATCAGCTAACCACCTGCCCCCCGAATAAGAAACGGGCACTGCCCCCCAATACTGACCCTCCCCCCACATCCTCAGGCAACGCAGAAATAGACACCCTACGCGCCGAAATAGAAACGGCTTTCGATAACCACCGCCAACACACCTCTGCCCAAATCAATGCAATCCAGGAATCGGTACATTCCCTACATCAAGAAGTCCTACAATGGATGCACCTTGCCGCCCCAGCTACCGCACCCTTACCTATAACCCACGAAAATGACCCGGACCTCTAACACACAATACATCTGGCAATGGAACTGCCGCGGTTTTCGAACTAAAAGAGCCAACCTCCAAGCACACATTGCATCCATACCCAACCCCCCCATCCTCATAGCACTACAGGAAACATACCACTCACCCAAGCTCAAAGACTATGCATCTCACTCCCCATCGGATTTCCCCCAGATAGCCACCCTTGTACATCGCAATATTGCCACCCAGCACGTAACTTTCGCCTCACCGATCCCACATATACTAACCACACTCCACCTTCCCAAATCCCTTGTCACACGCCTGCATGTTCTTAATATCTATAGCCCCCCTAAATCCAAACACATATCCTTCAAATACATCTTCCAGCAGGCACTCGCTTTCACTAAACGTGACCCTCTCCTAATTGTAGGTGACTTCAAAGAACCCTAACATAGAGTGGGGCTACTCTTATACCACACGCAAAGGCCGCCTACTCTCTGAACTCACCCATTCCCTGAACCTCACCCTTCACACCAACCCTTCCTCCCCCACACGCATTGGCAACAGTGCCCAGCGCGATACCACTCCCGACCTCACCTTTAGCACCGGACGACTCACCCTTCACACATCCACAACACCACACACACTTGGCAGCGATCACTACATCATCAGCACGTGTCTTACCCTCAAAGGCATCTCCACAAGCCCCCCACTTCCACCACCAACACACACAGATTGGGATCTATTCCGTACCGAATGCCCACTCCCACCCACCACCACCTGTGATTCCGACCTAGAACAATGGACGACCCACCTTCTCTCAGCTAAACAGATTGCAACCAAAACTATCGATCCTCCTCCCCCAGCGGAATATGTAGATACCCACCTCCGTAACCTCTGGGATGCCTACACCAGCTTAGAGCAGCGCTGGCGGAAACATAAACACCGACGCAACCTTCGCATCAAACTACTAACTCTCCGCACTAAGATCGAGACGCACGCACTCACATTAGCCAGGAACAACTGGAACAATATTTGCGACGAAATGCGAGGCCAGCTCTCCACTAAGAAGGTTTGGCACATCCTCCGTGCCCTACTCGACCCGCGCACTACTAAGACGCAATCTCGCCACCAAACCACACAAATTATAGCGGAAACTCAGCTCTCACCCACCGCCCTATGCGACAACCTCCGCTCCATATACATTCCACCTCCATCATCACACCCTGTTGGTCCTCCACAATACACTGGCAACCCCAACCCAGAGCTCGACGCCCCCATCACCTTTGCAGAACTACAAGCGGCGGTGCAAGCCCTCAAACGCAACACCACACCAGGACATGACAACATCACAAACACCCTCTTACGTCACCTCAATGAGGAGGTCCTAGAACACCTTGTACAGCTCTTCAACCAACATTGGCTTAACCACACCCTTCCCTCCACCTGGAAACACTCTGACATCACACTTATCCCCAAACCTGGAAAAACACCCTCCATACACAACCTTCGCCCCATCTCACTCACCTCCTGTCTCGGCAAACTTCTCGAACACGTCCTGCAGAATCGCGTCAATGCGCACCTTGAATACACACAAACCTACCCACCTAATATGATCGGCTTTCGACCCAACTTATCCACGCAAGACGCCCTTATGCAGTATCATCATGATTTCCACCAACACCCCCCGCAACGAGATCACACCTCTATACTCTCATTAGACCTCCAAAAAGCCTTTGACAATATCTCACACCATAGCATCCTTCAGGCAATCTCATCCCAAAACCTATGCCTACACTTCTACCACTATATCTATAACTTTCTCGCAAAACGTACCGCTACCATCCGTTTCGGCCATGTCCAGTCTGATTCTTTCCACATGCCAGACCGCGGAACGCCACAAGGAGCGGTCCTCTCGCCCATGCTCTTTAACCTCACCCTAATCCCACTTGCCCGTACTCTCCTCACTATCCCCACACTACGCAGCACACTGTACGCAGATGACATTGCCCTTTGGGTCCACTCTGGCTCCGACCAACACATTGAAGCAACACTTCAACATGGCCTCAATCAAGTCCTACATCATATCGAACCTTTGGAGCTCCAATGCTCCCCACACAAATCCGCTCTCCTTACCTTTACGCCGCCTCGTCACAAACCCCTCCAAAACCCCCCCCATCCAACTTTTTATACACTCTGACCCAATACCACACACACAACAAGTTCGACTTTTAGGCCTCACCCTCACACACAACAGATCACCCGCACCCACCCTCCAATACGTAAAGAAATATGTTACCCAAACCTCACACCTCATTAGAAGGATCGCCACTAAACACCACGGCATCAAGGAACAGGACCGCCTCCGACTCGTCCACAGTTTTCTACTCAACCGTATCCTATATCAGCTACCCTACCTTAACCTTACACCCACCCAACTCGACTCCCTTGATGCGCTCCTCAGGAAGACATATAGACATGCTCTCCTACTCCTCCCTCACGCCCCAACGCACCGCCTGCTCGACCTCGGCATACACAACACAATACGCGAACACCTAGACGCCCACCACATGTCCCAACTCACCCGCCTCGCATCCTCACCCACAGGGCACTACATTCTTAACACTATAAACATACTCCCCCCACCATCCCAATCCCCCCCCTCCCCATTCCACCGCACATACGTAACCGCATTCGAGTCCACCCAATCCCTCGCCACATGCACCCAACTTTCCATAGAGCCCGGCGACTAGCACGAGCCAACATCCACGCCAAACTATACCCACCATCACCATGCACACTATACACTGATGCCACACCCTACCCTCACAAACCTGCACACTGTGTAGCTGTTCTCGGCCAACATCCACCACCAAACGTCACGGTGGCCACCATCCTCACTACAAACACAACCACGGCGGAGGAAGCGGCCATTGCCCTTGCGCTCGCCCAGAGCCCCGCCCCCCAATTCGTCCTATCTGATTCTCAGCAGGCCATCCGCAATTTTATTCGCGGCAATATCTCCCCCATGGCCTTCCAAATTCTCATCAACAACCCTCCATCCGACACCGTGACCCTGCTGTGGACACCAGCCCACACAGGCGTAGGCGCTAATGAGATGGTGCATGATCGTGCTCGCGAACTTATCGACCGAGCCGCCATTTCAACTGCGCCTACACGCGATGTCCCTGCAGGCAAGCCTACCTCCCTCCTGCAATACAGGGATATTACCCTACACTACCGCCTCCTCCGCCGCCAATACCCACCTCCGCACCCCCACCTCTCCCAAGAGGCAGCACACATGCTGCGCCTCTTACAAACACACACTTTCCCCCACCGAACACAACTAATACACACTCACCCACACCTCTTTACCAGCCCCGCCTGTCCTACCTGCGGGGCATTCGACACTCATTACCATTCCCTTTGCGAATGCCCCGCAGACCCATACCACCCTCTTCCCTCCCCTCACCTCTGGGAGCAGATGTTGCGCGACCCGGAGGAGTCAGCCCAAGTCCTGACCACCTCCCGGGCCCTGGCGATCGCGGCGGCCCTCTGGGCCTCCGCCACCCCCAATACCTGATCCCGGAAGAATAATAAAGTTTCCTCCTCCTCCTCCTGTAAAGGGCGAGAGTTCCTACGTTTGGGAGCAGCGGGGACAAGCCCTTTCTTCGAACGCGTCAAGTTTCCTTGAGCTTCGGGACGCCAAGAGAGGCCAGTCGTCAGCGCTAATCCCGCAGTTACTCGGCCCCACTTGCGACATGTCCGCTTCCCGCGCCTCGTAGCTGGGTTGTTGCAGTGGGGGGCTCGTGAACATTTTAGAGTATATCGAACCCTTTAAACCATTACCCCCCCCCCCCCCACCCACCCTCCTGCCTACGCCACACGCTTTGTCCTTGTCTTGTCGCGCCGTTTTAAACCAAGGTGCTCATTAACCAACTAGCCCAAGCATACCTTTAGCATGCTTCTCCCCCTTTGCATACATCAGCTGATCTTCTAACATAATATCTCTTTTTGTGCCGGAATATATGTTGATAAGCAAACCTACCTCTAAATTCGAAAGTAATTTGTAATTTGAGTAGAAGTTACTTGGAAAAAGAAATTAAGCTATACTACTAATTACCGAAATAAACAAAAATCACATCTCCACGTGGTGAATGATGTTTATTAGGACGAGCTCTGGTGGTGCTGATGATACTAATTTTATTGTTCATGGTGCTGACTTTTTTATTGCTCACAGGTAGTGCTGAGTTTCGGGTTGCGTTTCGACTTCATTATTACTGCCCCAGCTCTGGCTGGTGATGTGGTAGTAACCCCGGCTCTTGAGTTACTACCAAATCTCAGAGCCCCCTACTCGTCCCGCAGTCGTGACCGAGTGGTTAAGGCGATGGACTAGAAATCCATCGGGGTCTCCCCGCACAGGTTCGAATCCTGTCGACTGCGCAAACAATTTTTTTTTTTTAGGAAGACAAATAGGATGGCAATCGATGTGAGCACGGACGCCGGACAAGGCTAGACCCTAAGGAGCTTCGCCCCTAAAAGCTATTTGAAGGTTACTAAACTACTGAGAAAAATTGTTAAACTAAACTTGTAACAAGTTAGTGGCGCCCCCCTCCAGTCCGCCCGTCTGCGGCCGCCAGGCTCGGCGGGCAACATTGTTCACCGCACCAATAAATGCCGTTGAGCGCACGCGCTCCGGCCAGTCATCGTCCACCTCACAACCAGGCTGCGTGTCGTCTCTCCTCGGCGGGTGCTTCGGCCCCTTCGTCCACGTTCGAGAAAGATCGTGACACTGGCGACGAGGAACCGTGGCACTGGAGGCTACCAAAGTGCACGGTTCGGCCCACGCCGCCGAGAGAGTCGCAACACCGCCGCCCGCTCCTGTCGCCATGCCGCTGTACGGGAGGCTCGAGCCGTTCGAGGGAGATGGGTCCGCCTGGCCGGTCTACGAAGAACAGGTCCACGTGTTCTTCCGGGCGAACGACACGCCCGAGGTGAAACAACGGGACATCTTCTTGGCCAGCTGCGGGACCCGCGTCTTCAGCCTCCTTCTCGACCTCCTCAAGCCGGCCACGCCGCACGTCAAAACGCTGGGTGAGCTGCTCGCCACGCTGCGCTCGCACTTCAGTCCGGCGCCGTCCACGCTGATGGAGCGGTTCCGCTTCAACAACCGGAGCCGCCAGGACGGGGAGACCCTCGGGCAGTTCGTCGCTGCGCTACGAGGGTTAGCGAGCACCTGCGCCTTCGGCAACCAGTTGGACTCGCTACTCCGGGACCGGTTCGTCTGCGGCATCAACAACTCCGCCATGCAGACGAGACTCCTGGAGCTCCCCGACCCCTCGCTGGACGACGCAGTGAAGGCAGCGCTGGCAATGGAAGCAGCAGCCAAGGACGCCAGCGAGATAGCGCGTGCGGCCGGCTCACCGTCGACGGAAGCGGCGGTGCACAAGATGGCGACAAGGAGCGGTGCCTGCAGCCGCTGCGGTGCTGCCCACTCCCCCTCACAGTGCCAGTTCGTCCAAGCACAATGCTTCACGTGCGGGAGAACTGGGCACCTCGCACGTGTCTGCCGAGGGGGGAGGACGAGCGGCGGCCAGCAGCAGCAGCAGCAGCAGCCTGGTTCAAGCCCGGGTTCCAGCCTAGTCCGCGGCCAGGGTGGCCGTCGCAAGAAAACGCGGCGGGGACGAGCGGCACCAAGCCCGGGTCCGTCTTCAGCCAGGGTCCACGTCGTGGCCGAGGACCCGCAGATTTTCGACGTGTGGCAGACGAGTAAGCCTCCATCGTCCGTGCCACCATACTTGGTGTCCGTCAAAATCTGCGGCCACCCCATCACCATGGAGCTGGACACAGGAGCCAGCGTGTCGGTCATGCCCGCGAAGCTGTTCAAGCGGACCTTCCCCGGCGTGTCCATCGAGGCGTCAGACGTCATGCTGCGCAGCTACTCTGTGCAGCTTTCCCAGTCCAGGGTCGGACCCTAGTCAGCGTTCGCCTTGGCGACAGAGAGGCAATCCTTCCCCTTTATTTAACCAAGGGGTCGTCGCCGACGCTGCTGGGCCGGAGCTGGATTCACTCGCTCGGTGTTCGGCTGCCGGAGTACCAAGAAGCTGCGCTGCACGTGGTGAAGGACGTCCCGAGCCTCCTGACCGACTTCCAGTCCCTGTTCCAGCCAGGGTGGGCACCTTCGCCGGCACGACGGTCGGCATCCACGTACCCGAGGGAGCCCCGCCTCGGTTTTTCAAGCCGCGTCCGCTGCCGTTCGCCCTGAAGGACGGGGTCACCCAGGAGCTGCAACGGCTGCAGCGAGAGGGAATCCTGGTGCCCGTCAAGTCTTCCGAGTGGGCTGCACCGATAGTTCCAGTCCTCAAGCGAGACGGCCGCGTCAGGATCTGCGGGGACTTCAAGGTCACCATCAACCCCGTCGCTACCCTTAGAGAAGTACCCGCTGCCTCGGGTAGAAGATCTCTGGTCGGCTCTGTCCGGGGGACAGAAGTTCTCCAAGCTCGACCTTCGAGATGCCTACCAGCAGCTGGTGCTCCAGGATGCCGCCCGGAAGTATGTCACCATTTCGACTACCATGGGACTCTTCCAGTACACGCGCCTACCGTTCGGCGTGGCCTCAGCCCCAGCCATCTTCCAGAGAGAGATGGACAACCTCTTCAGGGGCATGAGGCACGTGGCGGTGTACTTGGACGACATCCTGGTTACCGGTACCGACGACGGGGACCACCTGCAGAACCTGCGCAAAGTCCTGACACGACTACAGGACGCCGGTCTCAAGCTGAGGCTGGACAAGTGCGTGTTCCTGACCCCCAGCGTGGAGTACCTGGGACACATCATCTCCCAGGCTGGCCTGGCCCCGGCACCCCGCAAGATTGAGGCCGTGCTCAAGGAGCCGAAGCCCAAGAGCAAGAAGGAGCTTCAGAGCTACCTCGGCCTCATCAACTTCTACAGGAGGTTCCTGCCCAACCTTTCGACGCATCTGGAGCCGCTGCATCGACTGCTTCGTGACGGTCAGCAGTGGGCCTGGAAGAAGGAGCAGGACTTGGCCTTCCAGCACAGCAAGGAGCTGGTCGTTAAGGCTCCAGTGCTGGTGCACTTCGACCCGGCCAAGCCTGTAGTCCTCACCGTGGATGCGTCGCCGTACGGGGTAGGAGCCGTCCTGTCGCACCGGGGTCAGGATGGTCCGGAACGCCCTGTGGCGTTTGCTTCTCGTCGGCTTCATGCGGCGGAGCAACGCTACAGCCAGCTCGACAAGGAAGGCTTGGCCCTCATCTTCGGGGTCCAGCGCTTCCATCAGTACCTGGGGGGCCGGCAGTTTGAGGCAGTTACGGACCACAAGCCGCTGCTGGGGCTGCTGGGACCTGACAAGGCGGTCCCAGTGCAAGCCTCGCCTCGAGTGGTACGCTGGGCCTTGACGCTGGCAGCCTACAGGTACAAGCTGGTCTACCGCCCTGGGAAGGACCTGGGACCTGCCGACGCCCTGAGCCGCCTGCCCCTGCCGGAGGTGCCTGCTGCCGTTCAAGAGCCAGCTGACGTTTTCCTGCTGGAGCGGGCCTACCCCGGGGTGCTCACCAGGACTGCGGTGGCGCAGGCGACCAGCCGGGACCCGGTCCTGTCCCAGGTGGTCAAGGCGGTTGCCCGAGGGGAGGAGCTGCGTCACCAGGCCTACAGCCACAAGACCGCCGAGCTGAGCTTGGAGCAGGGATGCCTCCTGTGGGGTTCCAGGGTGGTGATTCCACAAAGTCTGCGGGCCAAGGTGCTGCAGCTGCTGCACGCGGGGCATCCTGGCATTGAAAAGACCAAGATGGTGGCACGGTCGCACGTTTGGTGGCCTGGCCTGGACCAGGACATCGTGCACCAGGTGCAAGGCTGCCAGGTCTGCCAGGAGAACCAGCGAGTTTCGCGGCACGTGGAGATCACCCCCTGGCCGTTCCCACAGAGGCCGTGGTCCCGCTTGCATGTGGACTATGCGGGACCCTTCAAGGGCCACTACTTCCTGGTGGTAGTGGACGCTTTCTCCAAGTGGGTGGAGGCACTGCCAGTCACCAGTCCCTCGGCAAGCGCGACCATTGCGGCGCTGCGGCAAGTCTTCGCGGCGCAGGGATGGCCGGACATTATTGTGTCCGACAATGGTCCCGCTTTCGCTAGCGCCGAGTACCTCTACTGGCTGCAGAGGAATGGAATCCGCCGGATGCTGGTTCCGCCGTACCATCCTGCTTCCAATGGTGCAGCCGAGCGAGTGGTCCAGACCATCAAGGACAAGCTCAAGAAGAGCCAGCCCGGGGATTTCCGAACGCAGGTGGCCCGGGTACTGTTTCAGTACCGGACCACACCCCATGAGGTCACTGGCCGTGCCCCCTGCGAGCTTCTGCTGGGCCGGATGGTCAAGACCCCCCTGGACGTCTTGCATCCAGACCTCCGGTCCACGGCGCTCCTGAAGCAGCTGAAGCAGAAGCTGGCTGCTGACAGAGGGTGCCGTCCCGGGCCTTTGCCGGAGCCGGGAGCGTCGGGGTACGCCAGGAACTTCCGTCCTGGCCCACCATGGTCTGCCGGGCGTGTGGTTTCACCAGCGAGTGCCTCATCGCTGCTCGTCCGCATGCCCGACGGGACCACCTGGCACCGGCACGCCGACCATGTCAGGCCTCGCCTCGGGACCTGGCTTCCACCCTCGGCCGTCTCTTCAGAGGACCAGCCTGCAGGGGGCCCAACAACAGCACCAGTCGTGGCCAGCGGAGCGCCACCCACCACGGAGGCAACAAGAGTCTCTAGTCCTGCGGCACCAGTTGGACCGCTGCCACTCCCAAATCCGGTTCCTGCAGCTCCACCGGGTGGAGCGCGACCGGGACAGGCAGCGCCCGGCGTTGCCACACCTGGCCCGTCGACACCAGTGCCCAGGCGGAGTGCACGGCAGCGGAGGCAACCTGACCGCTACTCGCCGGGGTGACCTTCATCGTCGACAGGCCGGGACTTTGCATGACCAGACACCGAGATGGTGTCTGCCGTGTGTGCTTATTCAGGTATTTTGTTTTTAGGAAAAACAAACTGGGGGGGAGGAGTGTAACAAGTTAGTGGCGTCCCCCTCCAGTCCGCCCGTCTGCGGCCGCCAGGCTCGGCGGGCAACATTGTTCACCGCACCAATAAACGCCGTTGAGCGCACGCGCTCCGGCCAGTCATCGTCCACCCTCACAACCAGGCTGCGTGTCGTCTCTCCTCGGCGGGTGCTTCGGCCCCTTCGTCCACGTTCGAGAAAGATCGTGACAAAACTTACCTTTGTACAGTAACTACGTACAAGTCTGCTTCAAACTTAACTGTTTTTGCCTATTCTAGGTTCTATCTGGTGAATTTGCCGTTGCTAGCTTGGCACTCGTGACTCGTAATAAACCGAGTAGGCGGCAAATACAATATGCTCAACAGCAAAAACAAAAAAGCAACGTTTGCTTGTTTGCCGTGAAATACGCGAGGAGGCGACGGCGTTGACGGCGTTGAAGAAAAAGTACCCAAATAAAAAATCAAGGAAAAACCCGTTTTGTGCACGGATTCGTTGCGTTCCCGCGGGTTTGCGGCCATCATGCTGGCGAGTCGACGGTTGACTGGTCCGACGCGAAGTGGCCGGATCAATCAATTGCCTTTCTTTATCCATTAGGCCCGTTCCTTGGGATACGGGAGGAAGGACCGGCGGGAGCGTGATTACGGGAAGAAAGGATGATGCATGACTCGTCCGTCCAGTACGTAGATTCCACCCTGCTGTCAGTGTAGAGGTAAACGGAGGGGTGTCTACCCCCTGGGGTGGATCAGGAACTCACTGATAATGGTACAGGCCGAGTGCGCAGGTCATCGTCAACCTCGTCTTTTTCAGTTCTTAATAACTCAACCCGCGTAACTATGAGATCTTTAAATATGTACAAAAGAATGCTTACAACACTTAACTACTTTTAAACTTTTTATTGATAGTTTAGCTACATTTTATCTATTCGGGCGTCGCTTTTCACTTATCTTCCCCATTCAAAAGTTTGCAACACTGGGCTGGGGCGGTTTTCGATGAGGCTCGGCAAGATTTCTAATTGGGCCATATCTTTATTTTCCCTAATTATAAAGGCAATGAAGATATCTCACGTAATTAGTCGACTTATTGTCGCGATAAGCCTCCTATTTTATATTTCTATTACCGCATAACATACCTACAGAAACCCTATTCGTGTAGCTTTCACCGTTGTTGTTTTTTCGTCTGTCAAGCCTAGAAAAATACAGGCCGTAACCATAACCCCAAAGAATTATTAAAAAGTTTTAGTATTGCTTACAGAAGTAAACGCAAGCACTGTGTGTTTGCGTCAGCGTTGCGTGCTCTAGACTTTGCATACTCCATACGCATGCAACGCAGTGAGCTCTGCGTACGTACGGTCGCGATCCAAGTTTGCGTGAATACGGAACAGCGGGAAATTCGCATTGACTGACCGAATACCTGCCTTGAATTGCTCGGGGCGGTTTGCATGGCCACATCTAGACATCTACATGGCAACAGCCCATACAAAAATGGTCTATGGTTGTGTATGGAAAATTATATGCCAGGCTATCACCCCCTACGGCCCTCTATGGCCGGCCATAAAAATCCATAAAGACAGCTACAGCCACCTATAGAAACATCTATGGCCCTAAGTCTAAAGACTGTGAACCAATACATTTTCTTTGCCCTCCTATAGAAAATTCTACGGCTACAAATCTAAAGACTGGGAACCAAAAAATTGTCTTTAGCCGTCTATAGAAAATTTTATGGCCCTGAGTCTCAAGACTTGGAACCAATAAAATTTCCTTAGACGCCTGTAGAAAATTATATGGCCCCATGTGTAAAGACAGCGAACCAATAAATGTTCTTGACCGCCCTATAGAAAATTGTTTGGCCCCGAGTTTAAAGACTGGAAATGAATAAATTGTCTTTACCCGTCTGTAGAAAAATTTATGGCCCCGAGTCTAAAGACCAAGAACCAATAAGTTTTCTTCCCACGCCTATAGAAAATCACTACCGACGCTTACTTTTTTAGTAGAAACACTCCAAGTTAGAAAATAAATCAAAACTAAATTTTTGTAATGCCGGTGACCAACCATGTTTTCTGCTGTTGCAAGGAGTCGTAAAAACCAGTAATATTGTTTGTTTGAAAAATCCATTAAAATACTTGTGCAGCAATTAAAATTAATTATTACCCCCAAAAGTGAAAATAAATTACACTGGCGCAAAACACTGCAATCAAGCAATAGCTTGAGTGCAGTCTTCAGCACCAGTGTACCGCATGTCATCACTGCATTGTCAACGTGATTCGTCAAACTTATTAAAAGATAATTAATAAATTTTAAATAATTAGCCTAATGATCTACATTTGCTTTTTCGGGGTGTTCAATTAAGAGTTGGGGGCTATTCCTAGAGATAATTCAAATAATGTATTAAGTACGAGTAATATTTGCGCCGCCTCTTTGTGTTTTTGCGACAAATGATGGGTCACCAGCAAAGTCGGATTAAAAATTAGACTGCCATATATACAGCTAGTGCGAACATAGCATATGTTCGCTCCGGTGGCGCTGCGTTGCTGCAAAAAAAAAGGGCGCTGCGTTGTTGCTATTGTGTGGGGTATTGTTCTGCTTGTGTTCTGTGTATTCTGTGTGTTCAGAGATGTATGTATCTACATGTAGCGTTCACAAGTCGGGGAAACTTGAAGTAATTTTTTTTTTTTTGAGTTTGCTGGCTAAAGAGGGCCATAGGGTAAGCCATAGAGAAGACTTTAGCCAACCATTAGACAACCTAAAGAGCGCTATGGCTGGACAGCGATAGGGTCATAGACAAAGCTAAAGAGGCCCATAAAGGCGACCGTAAAATATGCTAAAGACAGCCATAGAAAATTCTTTAGCTATTTGGGCCAGATAGTTAAAGCCGACCATACAAACAATTTTCTATAGCCGACCACAGGACATTTTTGTATGGGACTTCTGCTTACTTAGTGGCGTTAGCTTTCCACTGTACTAAAAGCCCTTGTCTGGCGTGCTCCCGCTGCGAAGAATTCCGCTGAGAGCTTGCGTCGATGGTACGCAGTGCAGACGCAAGCGTCTTTACGCGTTTTTAGAATTCTGTATTATATTTGGTTTGATTCCCTGCTTTGAACGATACTGCTGAATCTTAGCCAAACCCTTAAATGGATACTTCAACGAAACTTGAAATATACCTATCTTGTTCAGAAATAGTATATATATCATCCACAACATATGTAAATGACAATCGCACGTTTATAGTTTGCACCTAATGGCTGTATTCTTTTTCTTTTTAATGGCCCACCCTGGAAAGCGTTTGAAGCAGAGCCAGCGGAGACCACGTGACATTCGTCGCATTCGCGACGTGGATTGTATCCGAACCAGAAAGCCGCGGCGAGGCTGACGTCGACAGGATGTTCTAGCCGTTCCAGCCACCGAAGCGGCCGAAGGAAACCAGCAATCGGTCCACCGCAACTAACCACAAAGCTACTTTTGTAAGAATTTTAAGTAGCAAGTTAATTCACTATGCTCTTGTAGAGGTACAATAGAGACGTCTGGGACCCACAAAAGAGTGTCCAGTTAAGAAGAGAATTCCTCCTTCCCCTCTTCTCTCGTGGTACACTGAGAGCTAGCGGGATGATGTCAGGGTAAAAGCATGTATAGTTAACTAGGCGAGACAGGCATAGCCACAACCTGTCAAAGTTCTTAGACGGACATTAAAAACTAGGCTTTAGCAAGATCCACCAGACGCTCTTTGCTAATTGTTTAATTCGTTTTAAAAAATCTTTTCGTGTCTTTTTCAACAAGAGATCGGTGCGTTTAATGTGATACTTCTGCCTTCAACATGAGTACACCTAAAAATAAGCGCCAATTTTTCTTTGTAGTACCCCTTCAAGCAGATTTTACAAGTAGACTTTTGTTTTTGTTGTTTTATGACTGCTGGCAGTGAAAATGGCGGTGGCAATGTGCACCACTACAGAGTATCTGATGACGCCTGAGGAAAGAGACTGCCCCAAGAGCCATGGTGTTGACTCCTGCTGGCACGTTGCCATACTGGCGGGGTGTGTTGCTTTCCTTTCTTCAGCGCCACAGTCGGTGTCCGGTTTTTTTTACGTGGGCTTCATGGAAGAATTTGGCGTCAACCGCGAATCTGCTTCGTGGCCCAGCAATGCAATGGCGGCACTGGCTCACTTATCAGGTACGTGAGCGGTATCAGAGTTTCTACATTGTTCCGGTGTAACGACACCGCGACCTCGCGACAGCATCAGCTACGCATTTCACAAAATCGTGCGTAACCAGAACCGGGCTCGCATACCGTAATTTATTCTAAAAATCGAGTGTACATTCCCAGGTAACTTTAGAGAGACGAAGCTTGTGAAAAAATGGTCAAAATGCAAGCGAGCTGGTGCGTACTATTCATGATGTTTGAACACTGAGACTTTGAAGGACTCTTGAAGACGAAAAAATAATCGATAAAAGAAAAGTGAATATACAGCGCCTACTCCTCAGCTACAAAATTGATTTCATCCAAAGCTTTAATACTGGCCTCCCAAAGCAGTTCTTTTTCCTTCTTTTTTTTTAAATTGTATGTAGAGTGTTGTTTTTGTACCTGCGGATGCTTTCTTTTCTGTATGCAACGTACGTTTCCTTTTGACTTTGGACTAAGTCGTAAATATCTTCAATACGAAGTCAAGATAAAGTTTGCTGCCTATCGATAGAAAGTGCCAACAGAAAGTCAATTGTAATTCTGTGGGGCAATAAATGTGCAATATCGTCAAAACATGATTTTAAAGATATGTACTCCAAGATGTTTCAAAACTTTCGTATCCCAATTCTCGTACATAAGATTCTAAGAAAACATTTTATTCTGAGTGACTTAAGTGCACTACTGGTTATCTTCAGTCATGCCCTTGCTCGGATCCCTCAAAAACAAATAAATGGAAGGGTGAAGCAAGAAAATAAATTTATTACGATATATGAAAATATTACGAGATACGAATCGAACTTGCTAATTTTTTCCCATGTTTTCCTATAACATTTTGATACAATTAGTATCGATGCACTTTGGAATATATTCGAATGAAAAATGCATGATTTAGTTGACAGATATATTCCCTCCAGAATTCAATCCTCATAAACTGAGAACAAGGCTTGGGTTGCAAGAAAAGTGAAACAGATCATCAAGCGAAAGAGGAGCGCTTATCTTCGTTATAAAAAAAAGGGGGGCGCATCCAATAAAGCGATCTTGGCGGACATGAACGCTGAACGCTATTTCTAAAGCTAAAATAAAAGCGTTTTGGCCTCGGTGGCGTGCCAAAAGAGCCGGCGTGACGCGAAAAATCTTTTTCGTCGATAGGGTCATGACGTCACAGCCACATGACCTAGGCTCGTCTCGCTGGAGGGGCGTACAGTTTCTATCCGTCACGGAGGAGCGGAAAGTTTCCGTCCGTCGCCGAGTCCACCCAGTGGCGCTGCAATCCTGCCGTTATTAAACTTCCTGTATCGTAGAAAACAGACGCAACGGCACGTAGAAAACAGACGCGCAACCAGGGTGTAAAATAGACAGGTGTGGAAACGGCCCATAGAAGCCTACCGCAGCGCCTTGACCGGACTGTGTACTCGTCTGCTTGCGGGTACCGCCGATTCGCGACAGATGGCGCTGCGACGAGAAGAAAAAAATTTAATTCGGATTTGCGTGGAACTCTATGGGAGAGTGCGCAAAATAAACCAAGAGCACGACAGTCCTCCGCTGAAAATCCTCGAGAAACAATCTCCGTCAGTTTAGCCAGTCGCCGCAGGTCGCCCACCCGGAGTGAGAGTTTGTGGCGCCACATAGATGGCGCCACAGAAAAAGAGAAAACCGAGGGGGACACAATCCGGTCGCTCATATGGCTCTCGTTTCCCCATCTGTCTATTTTACACCCTGCGCGCAACTCTGGCTCCCGTAGGGAGTCTATACGGGAACTTTAGCCGTTATCATTCGTCTGTGGAGAATGCGTATCCCGCCGCGAGGATGCCGCTAGGCCGCCGTGAGAGAAAACGTGTGCGCTGAATGCGGTGCTGTCTATCGGTGCCGGGCCCCCTTCCGAGTGGTCGATTTCTACTACTGCGGATGCCGAATCTACGTCTGCTCCTGTTCGGCGGCGGCGTCGGCCACGTGAGACTGAAACCGAGTAGGCGCGGAGACGGAGGCTAGGCGTGCAGACGCGATGTGCCACAACCGGGCTGAGGATTTTTAAAATATGTTCTCTGGTGCTCAGTGGTGTCTTTCATATTATAATACAGTCTTCATAGAAACACAGTGCATCGTTGGATTACATGTAACCCTAAAAAGTATTATGTAACCCACCCCCTGCAATAATGCCTAAGGGAGATGCAGGTTTTTCAGTAAATAAAAATACTGCATAGGGTGCAAACCAGCTGATGTCTATTACTCAACGATAAAAACTCTATTGAATTTCTAATGAGGAGACAACAAAATATTTTCCGAGTGAGAAAATGCAAATGCGTGCCTAACGAGTGAGCGCGAATTAATGCGTATTGATGTGTTAATGGTCAAACATGTTTACATTTCTAATGAGCAAGTTCAAAATATTACATAATGAGGATTCATTGATAAAACTCATTGGCGAATTTAATGATCAAATTCTAAAGAATGTGTATTAAGTTCTTAATGACCAAACTCAATTGCATTCCTAATGTGTAAATACAATATATATATATATATATATATATATTGAATTCTTAATTACTAACTTCAAGAACATTGCAAGTGAATGAAATTAATCGAAAGGATATTGAGTTTTTAGGATCAAACTCATTAGACACTGAGTTCATATTAAGTTTCAATTGACTCTATAACAATACATTAGAAGCTCAACTGAAACTCATGGATAACTTTTGTAAGGGCTTTTCCTGGTTGTGCTCAAGTCGTGCGCTGTACAGAGCTTCTAGACAGTTTCATTGAATAACTTCATACTTGCCTTGGTTACCTTGCACTTTTTGGTAAAAATCTGAAACAAACGCGACGTCATCATTTCATACCAACGTTATTATATCACCTCAGTTGTGGCACTCCCGCGGAGGGAAGTAGCATCACCTTCTCCCTCAAAGGTGCCACCCGTCATTTGAAGCACCATCTAAACTCTAGATGGTGCTTAAAATGACGGGTGCTTGAAATGACGTTTTTAAACAGCGTTCTTCGGTGCCACTGCGCCGAAGCGCCATCTAGACGCATGTGCTTGAAAACCTGCGTAACTCTAGCTGCCAGTAGGTATCATGACAGCCGTCCCCCAGAGAGGAGGAGGAGGAGTAAACTTTTATTGATGGAAAACGAGATCTCTGGTCTAGCTGGGGCCCTTAGTCCAGGGCTCCAGTGCTCTCTGGCGCAGCCTTCGCCCTTTGTACCAGCATTTGCTGGATACCGGGGGAGGCGCTGGGCAGTGCAGCTTCCTGCACTGCTCAGCAACTCCTGCATAGATAGAATCTATGCAGGAGTGCCAAATGTTTTAATGTTGTCATCTGTATCTGACGCCAGGTCGAGGCCCCCTCGCGGGATAGAGAGTGATGAGGTGGTGGATACTTGAAACGCTGGCCGCGTTGAAACGCCAGGAATTCGGGGAAGGTTATTGCGCGAGGCGAGGCATCCTCGGTGGATTGGTTCGTGTTCGCTTAAGGTGCCCGGATGGTGCAAGCTCGGGCAACGGCATTTGCGTGCCGCTAACATTCGATGGGTTCGTGACCTGGGGTCTAAACCAGAGCCACCTTGGGGAGGTCGGGGCCTTTTATTTAGAGGGCGTGAAAGGCTTGTGATGAGATGCGACCAGCTCTCAAACGTCGAATGGCCGTCTGGGAGTCAGTAAGAACGTCCCTCCACCAAACATTTCCGTTACGTCGGTTTCATGAAATTACTTCAAAGGGATGCTAAACCGAAATCTGGATTCCCCGAAACACGCGGCAAAAGCATGCAACGGGATGTTACAAACACCAAAACATCACTCATACAGCGATATCTCGAACGGATGACCGTATTTTTTTCAAAAAAAGAGGCGCATTTGGCAGGAGTGTTTACGTCATGTTTCTCCGAGAAGGAGAGGGGACAGCCTCGCGTCTTCTCCGCCTCGCGGCCTTGAGGGAGCGAAGCGAAGAGAGGAGGAAACTAGGTATCTTGACGGTCACGCGCCTCGTCGGCCTGGTTCGATCTCAACTTCTTTTTCCAAAAATAAGGCTGTCCATTTGAGATATCGCCTCACTAGTAGTGTAGTAGGGATTGTAGCGTCCAGTCTACATCTCCAGCATTGTTTTTTTGAAATCCAAATTTCGGTTCACCATCCCTTTAAGGCTGGTTCAAACATTTACGTCCTTTGACCGTGCCAAGGGTGGCAAGCGTGCTATGATGTCGTGTGGCCGCTGGTACGCTCGTATGTAGTTCAAGAACAGCACCTGCATGTGCATGTTTAATTGTTTATATATTTCATTCATAAGTATTGTACCGCGGGCGTAAAGTAGTACCTACAATGTTATGAGCGATTACTTTTTGTGAATTGTGCCTTGATTTTATCTCGAAAATACTGTAAATACCTTCAGCCTTGTCGCCCATAGGTTGGAAGTATTTTAGGTCTAGCAAAAGAATGGCGTTCGTGCGCCAGCAGTTACAGGAGATCCCAACGCTCTCGGCACACTCTGCCAACTGAAACGCAAATGGTTGGACCTGCCTTTATTTGCTAAGTTCTCGTGGATGCAGAGTCCCGTTACAGTATATCAGTTACGGAACGATCTATTACGGTTTCGCTTCCGGCTTCGGTTCATTGACCAGTTTCATAACTGTTTCGTTTCTGTTACCAAAAAGAATAAAACGAGATTCCGTTTTTCGATGTTTCCCGTTCGTATTTCAGTCGGGCGTTGGAGTCACGGAAATAATAAAAAGACGAAGGTTTCGAAACTATCTGCTGTATTAAAGAAAGTAACAAACTGACTTTTCGTACAGGTATTTTCTTAGCCGTCCTGCAGCACCGCATAACATTGTTTCAAATATTGTTCGTGGGAGGAGTCCTCTTGTGGACCGGAATTCTGGCATCGGCATTTGTGCCCAACATGACGTACATGACAGTCACGTTCGGTATCATTCACGGTAAGACAGCCAATCTCCACTACTATTTTCTTTTCTCGGCTCTTTTTTTTTCTTCCTATAATACTTTAATATGGTGAATTTAAAAATTGCATACTGTAAATGACCAAATTTTCGCGAGGACCTCATTTTCGCGGATTTCGCAAATGGCCTGCAATTCGCGAAAAATAGGTCCCACGAAGAATTCCGGTAAAATCGAAACACATTGAAATAAATATTGAGATTCCACTGCGTCGCGAAAATTAGACCCCGCGAATTATTCCAAAACTGCAGCTTTGACCCAAATCACGAAATATTGAGCCCGCGAAAAATAAGTCATATACAGTATCTGTCTGCGAGAAATCAGCAATGTTGCGTTCCCTTAGTGATGCTTTTGAAAAGTTGTTGAAAACTTCCCGTTTTTATCTTGCGTTAACGTAATGTTCTCGGTCAATATGACATGACTGTAAACCATGATATTATGAGGGGAAAAAACTATATTCCAAATTGAACTTTGATGCTCCTGTTTCTAAGAGTTTCAGTCCCTACAAATTGGCAATTACCATTCGAAAAATGTGTTTCCCAATGAGACTGAAGAGGGAGAACTATGGAATCTTGACAAAAAAGCACACATATATCTGCAAACCAATTGATTCCACCGGTAGAGCGTAGATTATTTTTAGAAACCAAATTTTTGAACATCTTATGTACACCAATTTGAGTGGGGGCAGTTACCTTGAGCTCCAAAAATTATACACATTTCATAACTCTGTTTAGTCCTACTTGACATCACTCTATAAAAGCCCTAAGCGACGATTTGTGACCTAAAATATTTGGTCGAAACCCCAAAAAGAAAAACGTAATTTTTCTTTTCATTTTTTTCTTTTTGCAGGTCTGGGTTACGGGCTCTGCATAATGACATTGAATGTCCTTCTTAATATGTACTTCGACCGGTACAGAGCCTTAACATCAGGAATTTACTATTCCGGAATGTCCTGTTCTGGTCTGGCCTTTCCAAAGTTCCTCGCCTATTTGCAACAGAAGTATGGATTTCGTGGCACGCTTCTCATCTACGGGGGAATCACCATGCACGTCACGGCATTCGGTCTCTTGTTGAAAGAACCGCCCTGGATGTGTCTCAAGCAGTACGCTAAAAAAGAAAGATATCCAATCCTCGAAGGCACCAGGGGGATCCAATACCAACTGGCGAACCCGGATCAGCATAAAGGCTCTCCAACAAGCGGCAACCATGAACGCTCGAGAAACCTGCCTTCCCTGTTGTTGCTACTGCGCAAACCTATGTTTTATGTGATCCTCTCGTGTGCCGCGATCGGGGATATGATATTCTCCGTGTTCACATCTACCATGGTCGACTACGGGTTAGACAAAGGACTGTCGATTTCAGATGCAGAGTTCCTGATTATCTATGGATCCTGTGCTAATATTGCCGGGCGACTCCTCGTTCCTCTTTTAGCCGACGCAAAGTGGATCCAGCGCAGTACTCTGGTGATGATTAACATCGTAATAGCGAGTGGTTCGATGATATTGATGTCCTACACCATTCTGTATGCACACGTTCTTTTCGTCTGTTTGTGCGTATATATTTCTTTAGGGTTTCTGACTTCCATGAAGAGCGTCCTGATGGCGGATTACCTTGGAATCGAATGGATGTCGACAAGTTACGCTGTCGTGGGATTGATCTTGTTGCCTCTGACCATCATTACTCCATCCATAATTGGTAAGTTCTTTACTTGTAGGGTCTTGCTTTTCTCTGACTCGGTACCTCGTATGAGAGGAATGACGCACGGGGATTAGTACTTCGGCGTGTTCAACCCACCACCAAATCAATGCGGAACGCAAGTTCGTCGGCTTCTTTCACCGGGGTTGCGCCCATTGAGAATGCCTTCATTGGCTGATTGAATCAACCATATTGCACAAGCAGACCTTAAGACGTCTAGCCTTGCGATCTACCCACTATCCTTCCGATCAAAGTCAGTCAGAACTCTGCTTCATTCTGACGTCACCGCAACCCTATCTCATAAGAAGCAGCGACATTCGCGGTCACCATTCTTCGGGCACGGAATGTATAATGGGATCAGATCCCTCACTAAACGCTGACGCAGTACTCGGCTTCGATAGAATCTGAGCCGAGTTCACGCCGAGCGTTGACGCTGCCCTCGTATCCAATAAGGGATCAGAGAACGCTCCCAAACAATAGTTGGCTCAGAACCTGCTAGATTGTGCGCAGTTTTGAAAGAGGTTTATTTTGTGTCATTGTCTTTTTTCAACTGAAGTGTACAAAGCGCAGCACAGACACCGAACAAGCAAGCAGTTTTATTTTTCGTGTTTTTGTTACGAAGTTTACACTCTCTCTATTCGAACCTGCTATTGTTGTGGAACGTTCACCCTACTTACCCTCGTAAGGGGACAGTGCTAAAAAATAGCCTAAACCCACCCGTCTTAAATTATCTATTTGACCCGAAAAAAAGCTTTATAACGTCACATTTACGTTGCGAAACGCTAATTAAAAGAAGCATTGGGTGCAGCGTAAGGATAATTATCCTGCCTAATTTCTTCTCTTGTACATTTTCTCAGAGCGGAGAGGTAGAGAGAAAGAGAGTCGAAGGCAAAAGCGTGGTCAGAGGTACGCGATGGGACGAAAGTGTCTCTCCTCCAATCTTCTTTCAAGAAGATGGGAATCTCACAAACTTCCTTCGGTCCGAAGCTACTGCAATATTGGCTTCGGTATAAAGTTTTCTTTTTAACGGCTCACTCGCTCCCACGAAGCCGCTCCCAACTTAAAATGCTTGTCGCGACATAAATGTTGCACGAAAAAAAAAAACAGTTAGTGTGCCGGCGAGCTCGTGATAATAAAACCTTTTGTAACACCTCAGGTCGTGGTGCGGAAACATTAAGAAACTTTCGAGTAGAACAAAAGAAAACGGAGAGAAACGTCTCAAATGCAGCTAAAATCATTTATTTTTCTCGCTCTTTTTACGCACCGGATGCGACGTCAGCGACCTGTTCACAGATGCACTCCTTGTGGGCACGACAACCGGATGATCTTTTCACATCAAGACCTCGATAGCGCTATCAAGGTGTTGAAGCCGCTATACGACAACTCCCTACAGAAATTCGAAAGACACGATGCCAACAAAGTATACTCAAGCCTTTTGTCACATTCAGCAAAAACACCGAAAGGCCTCACACATGTCTTCTTGACTTTGACTCGCAGATATTCCTAAAGCATCGCGTAACTTTTCTTTTTTATGAGCCCTTAAGATTCTAACGCTCCAAAGGAACGAACATGTAAAACTTTCACGCGAGCAACATCCTAACGATGTTCGAGCACTGCCATAGCGCACAATGATACGGCTGATTCCATCCAATTGGTGCTAATGTATCTTATTATTTCGTGCGACACGTGCACAACAAGTCCTGTGACATGTTCCACACACATGCCACACGCCGCGGTTTACCATTAGCCATGCTCTCAGCACGATCGCAGCGCTTCAACACGACTCGCACCGCCGCGCTCGGCCCATCTATGGGCGCAGCCACCTTGACGTCACGTGACCACTAATGTGGCAAACGGGCAAGATGGCGGTGGCCGGCGAGTGTGTATCTGTGCCGGGAGAGGGGGGGGGGGGGGAGGGGGGAGGCGCAGTTTTCGCTGCAGCCCATGGGTCCTCCGGTTCACTGCTCTAAGCTCACTCAAGCTCGTTGCTGCAGTGCGAAGAAGTATAGAGGCGCTAGGTTTGAACTTGCTACGACTTACGTTTTATCCGCTGTAAGTGCCTATGCGCGCCAAAGCTGAGGGAGAGGAGGAGACGAGAGCGCGCGAGGACGGCAGAACGCCGAGCTTTGATTGGCTCTGATTGGAAGGACAGTGAGTAGACCTCAGAGAAGCTGGCATCGAGCTTTATAGCCACTAACCTCCCAATTCGAATCAATCAGAGCTCAGAGTTTTTGACGCCATGGCAACCCCTGCGCAAGAAGCAGACGAACTTGCGCTCCGCATAGCTGCCGTTGTCTCCACTGCAGTCGTCAGACCCGTTAAAACGCAGAAGTCCGGCGTCCGGCGTTTGACGTTCGAACAGTGCGGTGAAGACAAACGGAGCTAGCCTTGCGTCTACACACTAATCACTCTAATCAGAGCCTGCTGTTTTCAAAACCCCGCGCGCTCTCGTCTCCTCCTCTCCCTAAGTTGCTGCCCGTATATTAGGATGAAGTAAAGAAAAGGCGACTTACTGTATTCCGTTGGTCATTGTTTTTGTTTGTGTTCCAGGATTCTTTAGAGACTTCGGAGGAAGCTACGACGGCCTGTACAGGATGTACGGTGCAATACTGCTGCTTCTTTTTGGCGCCTTTCTTTTTGTTGTCTGTGTTGAAAGAAGCCGCAACCACGTGTGGACGACAGGACAGAATGCGCAGGAAGCGACACAGCTCACTTCAGCTGAGCAAACAAGGAATACCTGAAACGTCATTGCTTTATGATTTCGATAAAGTTAATAAAACTGATGTTGTATGGTTTCTGGTGCCATAGAGCCCCATGTATCCGAAAACTCCGTCTGATGCCATTTTCCCATTGAAATTTTCAGAAAATCACTTATAACTTTTGGATAAGGTATCAGATCGGGCTGAAACTTTGGCATCTGGTTGTGACCTCTAGCGCTTTCTTTGATCGGAGAATGAGCGTTCGGCGATGCCTAGTTTATATTTGCGGTAAAAAAAAAACCCTGTAAATATTGTTTTGTGACACCCTGTACTGGGCTACCTTAGCGCAGTTTTCAACGCCACAAATTTCAAAGAAAAACGCTTTAACTGACATATATTTTTGTACATCCGATTGTAAAACTTCCCAAAGTTCTTATTCTGTCACAACACTAAGCAGAATTTGCTCTTATAATCGAGCGCGAAGAGAAAACGCATTGTGTTTTCCCATGGGAATGCATTACCGGAAGTCAAATTTAGACTGCTTGATGTCTGCTTCAAAATGCAACAGCACACTAGCGCCACCTGAACCTCTAGCGTTTATTGCAATAACTCTATGGTTTGCACCACCTGCTGCTGCTTTGCCGCTCTCTCACACCCGTGGCTATGTGTCGTACTCCGACACTCCTGCAATAGAGATGTTCCAGCGAAGAACTTCATCGGCCTGTTACTCCAGATACTCCACAGTGGCGACGAAGACACGGATTTTCCCCTAAAACGGGAAGCAAAGACCGTCGGACGACTCAGCAATTGAGGGTCCTTAAACTGACGTTCTAGTGTCTGGCATCTTGAATCAACGACCAGAGTTACAGAAGGCAGTCAGGATGTCGTTATTTGGGCAAGTCGACCTTTTGATGACGCGAAGTGTCATTGGTTATCATACGAGGAAAAGTTGCGAGCCTTTCTGAGAGCGAACGGAGTAGCGGACGCAAGCAGAGTTGACGTGGTCATAAGCCTCATAGGACCTGACACGTATAAGTTGCTCGATAGTCTAGTAGCGCCTGAGGACCCGGCACTAAAAAGTTGTGAATATTTGTTTGCCGTTTTCCGAAACTACTTGTCGCCGCGGCCGTCGGTCATCGCAGAAAGGGCAACTCCATAAAAGGGAACAACAGGAAGGTAAATCGGTCGGAAAATATGTCGCCGAGCTCAAAAGAACATCACTGACATGCAATTTTGCAACTAACCTGGAAGAAACACTTAGAGACAGGTTCATTCAGCAGACTGAGTCGTGTTGACATTCAGAGAGTTTTTTTTCCCGAAGATGAAAGCCTGAGATTCAAGAAGGCTGCGGGAAAAGCAGTAACTATTGAAAGAGCCACCATGAATGTGCATGTCGTATTACACCTGAGACTGCGGTAAAAGAAATTGGAAGAACTTTCAGTAGAAGGAACAGACACAGAGAACGTCTCAGGTCTCAAGTGTAAAGCGTCTCAGTCTCAGGTGTAATACGACATGATTAGCTACCACCAGCTCGCCTGCGCACTCACCGTCTTTTCACTAATAGTTCCGGAAGCAGGCTTATTTCCCTTCAACCATGGCCCCGCGGCTGTACCCCAACCAACCTCCCTGCTCCTTCAAGCATTCACGGTACTCGACAACCTGGGACGACGTCTGGCTGAATTGGAAGCGGAGGTCACTTTCCTGGGCATCAGTTTGAGAAAGCGGTATGTGGATCCGAACCTCTTCAAACATCTATCATCCTCAAGATTCCCATGGAGCGCCAAAAAGAAGATTATTCAGTCTCAGGTGTAATACGACATGATTAGCTACCACCAGCTCGCCTGCACACTCACTGTCTTTTCATGAATGTGCAGGCGTGTCATAATAAGCCGGACAACGACCAACTCGAAATGCAGAAACTGACGGCGGTGAAATCGAAAGCGGTAGTGGTGGCTCAGGACAAATGTTTCCTTTGTGGCTTCCCTAAGCACATTGCCTCGTCATGTCCGCACCGTAATGCTATGTGTTATCGCTGCAACCGTGAGGGGCATTTCCAGTGTTTCTGTAAAGCATCAGTGACCCATACATTTGGCGGAGCAAAAGAGGTCGGAAATTTATCAGCTGAGGAAGAAAAGAGCGAAGCGATATTAGGACTTCAACACAGAAACATAAATGCGCCGTTCTACACGCTCAAGGGCGGGAACGCTCCTCTTCAGATGGAGATAAACACGGGGGCTGCCCTGTCTAACATTTTGACACGCCAGATCCAGTCGTTTCGTCGCGCGGAGCTGACTCCGGCGTCACTAACACTTCGCACGCACACCGGTGAGCGCGTCAAGCCAAAAGGAGTGGCGACGGTGGACGTAGAGTATTGAGATTTCAAAGGAAAACGTCCACTTCATGTACTGGGAGAAGACCTTTGTTTGGCAAGGACTGGGTCTACGAGCTGAAGTTTGGCTTGGGATCGCTAAACTCAGTCAGCGTTGATGTAAAAGCGTCTTTTCAAGACATCTTAATACGTTACCAGGATGTGCTTAAGAACGAGCTCGGATGCATGCAAGGGGAAGAGGCTCGGCTAAGTTTAAAGGAAGGTGCAAATCCAAAGTTTCTGCAAGCTCGGAGTATGCCGTTCGCACTGAAGCCAGCCAGCTGTAGAAGAAGAGCTGAAGAGACTGGAGGTGACAGGCGTCATTGAAGCGGCGGCCCATAGTGACTACGCTGCACCAGTTGTTCCAATTTGGAAGATGGATGGGTATGTATGCCTTTGCGGGGACTATAAAACAACGGTAAACCTTGCCTGGACGTGGAGCAGTACCCGCTGCCAAGGTTGGAAGACATTCTGGCAACGGTAGCTGGGACGACTGTTTTCTTTAAAATAGACTTAAGTCGTGCATACCAGCAAGTTCCTGTCCACCCTGAGTCTCAACTTAATCTAACAATCAAAACGCACAAGGATATCTTCCGTGTCAAGCGTTTGGCGTTCCGCGTCGCTTCAGCTTCAGCACTGTTTGAAAAGATAATAAACAGCTTGCTGGCGGGAATTGAAGGAGTGACCAGCTATATCAACGATATCCTGGTAACATGGAAGACAGCCGGGGATCACCTCAAGACTTTGGAGCAAGTCCTAAAGAGATTGAGTGACGAGGGCGTTCGAGTCAGGAAATAAAAGTGCTAGTTCTTGAAGGCAAGTCTGAAGTTCCTGGGGCACCAAGTCAGCGAAAAAGGGGTAGCTGTGTTGGCAGAAAACGTGCAAGCGATCCTTGATGGTCCTCAACCGCAAGACTCAAAACAGTTAAGGTCGTTTCTGGGAATGGTGACATTCTACGGAAAGTTCCTCCCTGACCTCTTCACCACAATAGCGCCGTTGAACGAGCTACTGAAGAAGGACGTCGTCTGTACCTGGAGCAAGCGCTGTCAAGACTTTTTTTGACACGGTGAAGAGGCTTCTGGCTGACACACCTGACCTGGCACACTACGACCCCAAGGCAGATCTTCAGGTGTCGTGTGATGCCTCGGCATACGGTCTCGGAGCCGTCCTGTCTAGGGTGTACGCCAACGGCGACACACGGCCTATCGCGTTTGCGTCCAGAACCTTGACATCGAGTGAAAAGAACTACAGCCAACAAGACAGGAGGCACTGGCTATTTTCTTTGGCGTGAAGAAATATCGCGTCTACTTGTTTGGACGATCCTTTGTGTTGATCACTGATCACGAACCGCTGCAAACCATTCTTGGTCAAAAGACGGAAATTCCGAGCATTGCTGCCGCACGTCTGCAGAGGTGGGCTATTACCCTTTCCGTTTATCAGTACCGATTAGTTTACCGACCGGGTCGACCCAACCTGGACGCGGACTGATTGACACGACTTCCAGTTCCTGGGTTCCAGGATAAAGACTGCGAGGATGACTTCACGGCGTTCCTCAGTCTTCGCCTGTAGTCATTTCCGGTAAGCAGCCATGAGATCGCACAATTTACAGCGAAAGAGAAAGAGCTCTGTCAGGTGCCAAGGTTCCTCGCCGGTGCGGGGGCCGCAAAGGTAGAAGATTGTCTAAAGCGTTACTTTGCAAGAAGAAACGAGCTGACGTGGCACCAGAATTGCCTTTTGTGAGGAATGAGGGATGTGATCCCTCATTCCTCACATGCAGCTCTTCCAGTACGCGTTCGCGCGTACTGGAAGAGCTGCATGAGGGGCGTCCTGGAATTGTGGGGATGAAAGAACTGGCACGCAACTATGTATAGTGGCCGGAAGTCGATGCGCATAGGGACGAGTTGGTCAGGATCCCTGGTCCTGACCAACTCGCCCTAAAAAAGGCTGCACTTGGATTTTGCGGGACCTTTCCAAGGCCGTCATTTTCTGGTGAGCGTCGATTCCCACTCCAAGCGGCCCGAGGTTTTCGTGTTGAACAGCACATCGGCCGAAGCAACTATTGAAAAGCTGAAGGAGCTGTTTAGTCATTTCGGTCTGCCAAATGTTGTTGTCAGTGACAATAGCCTCCGATTTTGTTCTCAACCATTTCAGAATTTCTTACGAGAGAACGGTGTGAGGCACGTCAGGACCGCCCCCTGCCATCCGTCAAGTAATGGGCCGGCTGAGCGCTTCATTCGCACCCTGAAGGAGGCCTTACGAAAAGAGATGCCGGGCCGGCCTCTGTCCTGTCGACTAGCAAGTTTCTTGTTAGCTTATCGGAACACACCGCACGCCACAACCCTTCAGAGTCCTGCGGAGTTGCTGCTTGGGCGGTTGCTCACTTCCCGTCTGGACAGACTCCAATCTTCTGCAGAGGAAACTGTTCACCGCAACCAAGACGTGCTACAGGTGAAGCGCCGGTGGCAAGCACCCACACTTCGAGTCTGGTGGCAAGGTGTACGTCAAGAACTTCCGGCCGGGTGAGAGGGTGTTGCACGGAGTCGTCAGGGCTGAATTGGGACCTGTCCTAGAGGCTTCGCTTGACCTCACCGCGGGGGACCTTCGTATGGCGGCGACACCAAGACCATCTGCGGTTGCTGGAGAGCTCTACTCCAGAGGCGGAGGAAAGTGGTTT